GATGAGGAAGAGAAGCGGTGTGCTGACAGCAAAGAATTGGGGAACCCCCAAAGTCAGGAAGGGCCTCCATCACAGGAAGAAGAGTGTTCTGAGCAGAAAGGGCAGCAGGTGTAAAGGTCCTGAGGTGGCAGGAACCTGGAGTGTGAGGAAGTGAAAACAAGGCCAAGGTGGCTGAAGCTCAGAGTGGAGAAGAGACTGGAGATAAGGTCATAGAGGTGGCCAGGGGACTCAGGGTGAGCAGGGGAGCCGCCAGGGTTCCTGGAGCATTTTATCGGCTAGAAAGTGGTATCATTTGATGCACATCTTTAAAAGCTGCTTCTGGCCAGGCGCAGCGGCTCACACCTGTAATCCCAGCACTTTGGGAGGCCGAAGCGGGTGGATCACAAGATCAGGAGTTCAAGACCAGCCTGGCCAATACGGTGAAACCCTGTCTCTACTACAAATACAAAAATTAGCCGGGCATGGCGGTGTGTGCCTGTAGTCTCAGCTACTAGGGAGGCTGAGGCAGGAGAATGGCTTGAACACGGGAGGCAGAGGTTGCAGTGAGCCAAGATTATGCCACTGCATTCCAGGATGGGCAACAGAGCGAGACTCCATCTCAATCTCAAAAAAAAAAAAAAAAAAGCTCCTTCTCGGTCCCCATGCAGTGCCTCATGCCTGTAATGCCAGTACTTTGGGAGGCTGAGGCAGGATCACTTGAGTCCAAGAGTTCGAGGCCAGCCTGGGCAACACAGGGAGTCCCCATCTCTCCAAAAAGTACAAAAATGAGCTAGGTGGGAGGATCTCTTGAGCCTGGGAAGTGGAGACTGCAATGGGCTGCGATCACACACTGCACTCCAGCCTGGGCGTCAGAATGAGACCCTGCCTCCAATTTAAAAAAAAGCTCCTTCTAGTTCAGGTGAATTATGAACTGCCAAAGGGGTGAGAGCAAGGCTAGGAGACCAGGGAAGAAGCTGGGACACGTACACAGGTGGGAGGTGGCAGTACCTGCAACAGGGTGTGAAGCCATGGATGAATTCAGGTGTTTTCTGAAGGTAGAGCCAATCTAATCCACTCATGATTGGCCGTAGGGATGAGACTGTACCAAAGTGTCAAGGACAACACCCAGGCTTGGGGACCCCCACACTAGGAACCCACCTTGCCATTTCCTTCCTGAAAGGGAGTCTTCCTTTCATCCCCACCACATCCCAAGGACTGTGGATTGTGGGCTGGGAGTCTCGGTCAGGGGACAAAGGAGCCTCGAGGTATCTTGACCAAGCTTCCCATCACTCTTCCCCGCCCTGAGGATGCCAACTAGTGGGGGTTGGGGAGAGGCTTTAGCTCCACTCTGAGGGTGGGTCACCATCCCACTTTTCAGGTGGGGAGACTGAACCCCGAAGAACCACCAGACCCAAATTCCAGGATGACTGAGAAACCCGGAAGGAATTTCAACGTTCCAACAGCCAAGTGGGGACGATCCACACTTCATGAACGTCACTGGCCTCGAGTCACCCAGCTCATCTGTTCAGCATTCGCTATCCTAAGTCCTTTACGACGTCAGTTACCTAAATTGTCACCACCCTAAGAGGTTCAGACTACTGCTACCCTCATTTGACAGGGACAACCCATGTGGATTGGAGATAAAAGTTGTTCATTCTTAGGGGCGGATAAGGGCCCAGAATGGCGGAGGTGGGGTCAGGGCCCAGGGGGACCGGGACAGTAGGTGATGTCGCACTTCCTTTGGCGACAAAGCCCTGCATATCACGGTGCCAAGCCCCCTCCCCCTCCCCGGGACCCAGGCCGGCCTCCCAAATTCTCCTGAACTGAAGAGATCCAGGACCAGCGCGCTGAGGACGAGGCTAGACCAGGGGGTCTTACGGGACCCCATCCCCACCCTAGACAGTTTCCGGGGGGAGCCGCAACCCGGAAATGAATGAGTTGTCAGGGCCTGGCATCCTGGATGGGGTCAGGGGTCGGAGAAGGAGTGGCAGTGGGATCATCAGAAAGCTCTCGGTAGGGTCCGGGAGTCGAAGGTCACAGGTGAGTGGGAGGGGTGGGCCAAGCCTGAGGGGGCCGGGCAGGGCGGAGAGGGGCCTAGGGGGATACTAGAGATGGGTGGGACCACGGCGCCATTTTGTCGAGCGCAGGGGGAGTAGAGGCCTGGAGGCCATACTCACCATCTTCTGTTTCCTCCGTCGCCGCCTCGGCCGCCGCCTCAGCCTCCACCGCCGCCACCACAGCCGCCTTCTAAGCCGCCGCCTCACAGTAACTTCCAGCCACGGCACAGCCCACACTGATGGCGCCACCACCCCCCCGTCATTGGTGCGCACTCTAGCCCCGCCCCCACATATGAGCACTTTGCACGCTCCCATTGGCAGCATCCAGCTAACTCATGCGCCCATTGGTTGCCACGCCTCCTCCCATTGTGGTCAAGTTCGGTTGAAGAAGCAAAGCCCCGCCCGGTACTTGGAAGCAATGGAAAGTGAGATCCGGAAGTGGGCGGAGGCCTCGGTCGCGAAGTCTCTTGGGAGTTGTAGTTTACAACTCCGCGAGTCTCTCTAGAGCTTTTCTGTGTCTGTTTTTAAGATGAGGGGGTCGGCCGGGTGCGGTGGCTCACGCCTATAATCCTAGCACTTTGGGAGGTCGAGGCAGGTGGATCGCCTGAGGTCAGGAGTTCAAGACCAGCCTGGCTAACATGGTGAATCCCCCATCTCTGCGCCTGTAATCCCAGCTACTCGGGAGGCCGAGGCAGGAGAATCACTTGAACCCGGTAGGCGGAGGTTGTAGTGAGCCGACATCGCGCCATTGCACTCCAGCCTGGGCAACAAAAGTGAAAATCAGTCTCAAAAAAAAGAAAAAGAAAAAAAATGAAAGATCGGCTGGGCGCAGTGGCTCACGCCTGTAATCCCAGCACTTTGGGAGGCCGAGGCGGGCGGATCACGAGGTCAGGAGATCGAGACCGTCCTGGCTAACACGGTGAAACCCCGTCTTTACTAAAAATACAAAAAATTAGCCGAGCGAGGTGGCGGGCGCCTGTAGTCCCAGCTACTCGGGAGGCTGAGGCAGGAGAATAGGGTGAACCCAGGAAGCAGAGCTTGTAGTGAGCCGAGATCACGCCACTGCACTCCAGCCTGGGCAACAGAACGAGACTGTCTAAAAAAAAAAAAAAAAAAAAAAAAAACAATTCCGGGCACGGTGGCTCACACCTATAATCCCAGCACTTTGGCGGATCATGAGGGCAGGAGTTCGAGACCCGCCCGGGCAACAAGAGCGAAACTCCCTCTCCAAGAAAAAAAAAAGAAGATGGGGGGTCCCACTATGTTTCCCAAGCTGGTCTCAAACTTCTGGCCTAGAGCAATCCTCCAGACTTGACTTCTCAAAGTTCTGGGAGCCATCGTGCCAGCATCTTCTTGTGTTTATTACATTTTTAAAGCAGCCCTAGAAGAGGAAAACCATAACACTCCCTATCCCCTCCTCGAGACCATCTTGCTCAAACACCTCCCATAACTCCCTAGTATTCAATCCCACCTCCTTGACCCCATTTATGGGTACCTGCAGCCTTCATTGCCCACCTGTGTCCTCACCTCTAACCAATTCCTCCTACATCTGGGCTCTCCCAGACCTTGCCATTTCCTCCAACACTGCATTCTTCAAAAAGGCAAGTCAGGTATCTTCACTGAGGTCCTACAGCCCTCACAATCCCCCTCCCAGCCCTGACACCGCTGTGTCCAAACTGCCTTCCTGACTTCCAGGGCAAAGACTGGGCACCCAGCACATAGCAACTGCACAGTGAAGTTGCTAAGTGGAAGCTACTATTATTACTCCAATAGCAACAGAGCAGGAGAAACCAGCACTGCATTTTATAGGCAACAAACGCACCCCACAGAGCTAAGTCTTTGCTCAAAATCAAACATCCCCAAGGGGCAGGTGGAAGATTCCAACTCCTAATGGGCTGGAGTTCGAGATCAGCCTGGCCAACATGGTGAAACCCCCCTCTACTAAATATACATAAGTTAGCTGGGTATGGATTAGTAGCGCCTGTAATCCCAGCTACTGGGGAGGTTGAGGCACCAGAACTGCTTCAACCCGAAGGCAGAGGTTGCAGTGAGCAGGGATCCGACAACTGCACTCCAGCCACGCCAGCCTGGGCGATAGAGTGAGACCCTGTTTCAAAAACAAACACCCCCCCCCCCGCCACACACACAGTTTTCCACCAGCCTTCCTAGACCTATAAAATTTATGACACAGGCTGGGCATGATGGCTCACACCTGTAATCCCAGCACTTTGGGAGGCCAAGGCAGGCAGATCACCTGAGGTCAGGAGTTCGAGACCAGCCTGGCCAACATGGTTGAAACCCCGTCTCTACTAAAAATACAAAAATTAGCCGGGTGTGGTGGTGGGCGCCTATAATCCCAGCTACTCAGGAGGCTGAGGCAGGAGAATTGCTTGAACCCGGGAGACAGAGTTTGCAGTGAGCCAAGATCGTGCCACTGCACTCCAGCCTGGGGGACAGAGCGAGACTCTGTATCAAAAAAAAAAAAAAAAAAAAAAAAAAAAAAAAAAAAAAGCGGACCCAGTGGCTCACACCTGTAATCCCAGCACTTTGGGAGGCTGAGGTGGATCACCTGAGGTCAGGAGTTTGAGACCAGCCTGGTCCACACGCTGAAACCCCATCTCTACTAAAAACACAAAAATTAGGCTGGGCGTAGTGGCTCACGCCTGTAATCCCAGCACTTTTTGAGAGGCCGAGGCAGGTGGATCACCTGAGGTCGGGAGTACCAGACCAGCCTGACCAACATGGAGAAACCCCTCTCTACTAAAAATACAAAATTTGCCGGGCATGGTGGCACATGCCTGTAATCCCAGCTACTCAGGAGGCTGAGGCAGGAGAACCGCTTGCACCCGGAAGGCAGAGGTTTCGGTGAGACAAGATCGCCCCATTGCACTCCAGCCTAAGCAACAAGAGGGAAATTCTGTCTCAACAAAAAAAAAAAAAAAAAAAAGAGTTATGACATGTAAGGCAACTGGAACTTTTAACATTTATTACACGTTTAACAATATTTCAAAATTATTGATAATTCCTTTGGATGTGATACGCTTTGTAATTATATTTTAATGAGCTCTCATCTTGGAGAGATACATTCTCTCCGAGATACAAGAAATATTTATAGAAGAAATCATCCGATGCCTGAGATCAGCTTCAAAAGAACCAAGGATGGGGCAGGGACGGGTTGTAGGTGGTCGGTAGTCACGGCTGTGTACTGGGTACAAGGAGGTTCGTTGTACTGTTCTTCGGTCTGTTGCGCAGGTTCGAAATGCTTCCTAATTAAAAAGTCTAAAAAGGGACTTGGCAAGCTCCCATGCAGCCTTCAACCCCACAATACGGAGAGCACTCAGGTCCGAGGCGTTCCTGCTCCCCAGCTCCCTGCAAAAACAGCGCCAGGCAAGGTCGCGAGGTGAGGGCGATGCTTCTATGGGGGTCCCGCCGACAGCATCGCGATCCTCAATGGCTCAGCGACTTGCGGCCCTTGAGCATTCGGCGAAGGATGACCTGGACGCCGGCCGGCGTGCTCAGGCGCCGGACCCAGCCGTGCTTGTTCTTCCGTTTGATGTTGCTCGGCTGATACTCGTTTCCGCGAGTCTTGCCCCGGGCCGGCTGTGGGATGGGGAGGCCCCAGGCGTCCGGGAACCCCAGCCAGGCCCGGGGCTGGAGCCACCTGCGTGGGTAGAGGGACGGCGAGAAAGGTCAGACGGGGTGCTGGGTGACCTCGGCGCTCAACCTCTCTAAGCCTCTGCTCCCGGGGACAGAGCCTGACTGCAAAATGCGCTCCATAAATGCGCAAGTCACTGGCAGGTCATGCGGGCAGTGAACAGTAGCGCCAGCCTCCGACGCCCTTATTCCCAGATTTGGGGAAGGGTTCCCCTTTGAGGACTTACCTGCCACCCAGTAACGCTGCCGACCTACTCGTGGGGCCCAACAGGGATCCAGCCAAGAGAGCCATGTCCTCAGTGGGTCCGGCAGGCCCGGCCGCCGGCGATTCCGGAGCCCAGAAGCGCCCAACCCTGGAACAAAGGATTATGGGAAGTGTAGTTTCTCCTAACGTGCAAAAACAGGCCGTTGGGGAAAACCCTTAAGTTGTAGTTCTGCGCCTGCGCAACAGAGGCGCGCCAGTCTGTCCACGGAGCAGGGCTCTTCATACAAACGAAAAGGTAGCCGGCGAACGGCGCCTTTTCAGCATGCGCATGCGTACAAGGCATTATCTCCCGCGGTCAGCTGGGAGCTGTGCTGCAGTTGTCTCTCCTGTTGACCGGCAGAGGGTGCCCCGCGGTGGCCGGGCGCAGCTGGTGGCAGCCGCAAGAAGCGGCTGGTTGGTCTTACCACCTCCAGCTGGGCAGATGGCACACAGCTGGCTGGCAGCTTGTCCTGGCTGCAGCCAAGTCTCCGCCTCTTGGCAGGAAGCCGAGGAGGCCTGAGTTCAAGCTCGCCGGGTGTCCTTGGGATGGTCCCTGCGCCTCTCTGGGCTTTCTCGATCTGTAAAACTCATGGATTGCAAGCTTGTCTTTGACAATCTTGCCTCCATTTCGGACCCTAGAAGAATTTTCCTCTGTTGTTAGAACCAAAAAAAAAAAAGGAAGAAAAATTTTCTGATACTCAGATCTGAACCCCTCCCCTACTCACACACTATCCTTGGCTCTCCATTTCCCCAAGTAAAACCTGCTCAGCCCTTCCATCAGGCATGCAAAACCCTGTACACACACCGTCTTACATTTCAGCCACGCCCTCCTCTCTGCCTGGTGTTCCCCAACCGCCCTTTAAAAATCCTCTCCTCTCCTCCAAGGGCTGAGTGAAGTGTGGCCCATGCCTGTCATTCCAGCATTTTGGGAGGCTGAGGAGGGAGGATCCCTTGGGGCCAGGAGTTTGAGACCAGCCTGGGGACATGGTAGCAACCACATATAGCCTCAAGTACTCTGAAGGTGAGGTGGGAGGATTCCCTGAACCCAGGAGTTCCAGGCTATAGTGAGCAATGACAGCGCCAATGCACTCCAGCCTGGGCAACGGAGTGAGATGCTTTCTCAAAAAAAAAAAAAAAAAAAAAAAAGGAGCCCTCTTCTCTCAACCGCTGTCCATTCTTCTGGCCCAACTGCCTTCCCTTGACTCTCTCCCAAGTTCAGGGGCTCCTCAAGGGCCAGGGGCCTGGGGCTGTATCCCTACAAGTGCCAACTTGGGGTTGATACAGAGAGGTGCTTGCTAAATGAATAAACTGTATAGTCTCCCAGAAGTGCCCTTAGTGAGCAAGAGTAGGTGTCTGGACGGAATCCAGCTCTGGCAGCAAATTCCAGGGGATGGGAGTGGCCAAGCAGCAAGGAGCATTTAACCCCTCCTCCCCCGAAGCCCATCCTACCTGTAGCATCATTTAGCAAAACATCACCACTACAATAACGCCCATAATATATGGAGCACTTGTTATATGCATGACACTGATGAGTGCTTTACCTACATAGTAAACTTATGAGAGGATTAATTTCATAAAGAAATAAACAGAGGCTCAGGAACGTGAAGTAACTTGCCCAAGGTCACACCTCAGCAAAGGGCAGAGGCTGGATTTGAGACCTGAGCTCTCCTGAGGGCCTACCGTAGCCCCGCCGGCACCACAGAGCTGGGATGCCTGCCTCTTGCTATCAGCCCTCCTCAGAACCATGGCAGCCATAGGTTAAATCGGCTGATTATGAAATTCAAACTCTCTAATTACCCACAGCTCTAAGACTTTCCTTGAAAGCTTTAGAGAAGCCCGTCACGATGGCTCACGCCTGTAATCTCAGCCCTTTGGTGAAGCCGTAGGCGAGCGGATTGCTTAATGCCCGGAGTTCGAGACTAGTCTGGGCAACATAGCGAGACCTCGTCCCTACCGAAAAAAAAAAGGGGGGGCAGGGGATGGGGGTGGGGTGAGGGAGGTTAGCAAATAATGGTTTCCAGGGCTTGGAATTACACAGCCTTGGGTTCAAGTCCCAGCTTTGCCCCTTGCTTGATTTATGTTCTTGTGCCCTTTATGAGCCTCAGTTTCCCCACTGGAGACTGGAAAAAGATCTTGGAGTCTCTGCTTCTAGAATGGAAAGGTCGATACGGAGAGAAGAGAGTGGGAGCCTCGTTTGGAGAGGAACAGGACAATTCGGAGGCAGGGGCTGGGAGGCAGGGGCTTGGGAGACCCATTTGCGGAGAGAGGGCCCCGGCCGCGCACTCCCAGGCGTCCCTCAGACCTTAGACTGCAACCCCCTTCTCCGCCTTGAGCCAGGCCCCATCCTCCCGCAACCTCGGGGCACCACCAAAGGGGCGGGGTTGTTGCTCCCAGAGCCCGCCTCCACTCCGGAACTGCCGCCTCTGATTGGGCTTGTAACTAGGCCAGGTCAATCCGCAGCTGTGATAGGCCGAAGTGCCCGCCCGTCGGCACATGGCTTCGCCTACTCGGGGGAGGAACTTAAAGGGCCGGCTCTTTCCGCGGCCGCGGGATGCCCCTGTGCTGACCGCCAGGGGCCGGTGCCCGCCCGCGTAGACGCTCCCGGCCTGACTCCGCGCCACCATGTAAACGGCGCCAGCAGGCGGACGCTGGCTTCTCCGCCTGGGACCCCTCCGCCCCGACCCGGGCCCCGCGGCCCTCGATGAGGTGAGCGGGGAGCGGGCCCCAAAAGGAGAGATCGAAGCCCCGGGGCCTCCACTTCGGAGGAGTGGTGTCCACCAACCCCGCGTTTGGGCTCCTAGGAAGCCACGGAGCCCCAGTGGGCTCGACCCCGCTGCAGGAATGACGAACACCTGGAAGGCGGGGGCCAGGGGCGGGGAAGCGGGACTGGGGTGGCGCCTGTGCGTTGCCCTCTGCAATCCGGGATTAGGGCCCCACTCGAGGTGCGGGGCACAGTCTGCTTCCCCTCCAGTATGTCTGGGGCCACTGCGGGCTCAGTCTCGGGCGTGCGTTACCTTAGCGGCGCCCAACCTGGGGTGGGGGGCAGGCAGGCAGTTGGCCCCATCTCCAGGCCCCAGACACCTAGACAATGGGGGTGCACTGCTCGGGTATCCCCCCTTAGGTTATGTAACCGCCTGTGGTTGCCATGGACACGGGGGCGGGGGTGGCCCAAGGAGTGGGATGGAGGCTTGGAGGCCCCCAGCCAGGGCCTTGCCTTTCCCATCCTCTTCTCCACCTCCGGGGACTTGTGTAGCAGATCCCCCAGAATCCAGAGTGCCAAGGAGGAAGTTCAGAGTCTAGCTTCCTCTCAGAGTATCTGGGTCTCAGCTTGGCCCTCTATGAAACAGGCCCTGGCTCACCCCGGTCTAGGGGAGCTAAGCAAGGCTTTCTGTGGCTCAGTTCCCAACCCCCTCTCCCAGGGCCTCATCTTTCAGGAGTCAGATTCAGAGCCAGGAGTCTCACTGGGGGCTCACCAAAGATTTGCACATTTTAAATGCCTTAGGAGGCCATGGGGATATGTGAGTTAGTGAGTGTATACCTGAATGAGTTAGTGAGTTAGTGCATACCTGAATGAATAAGTTAGTGTATACCTGAATGAATTAGTGTATACCTGAATGAATGAGTTAGTGTATACCTGAATGAATGACTTAGGAGGCCATAAATGGTATAAACTCCAGCTTGTGGGGAGGGGGTGTCTTCAGGCTGGTCCATGTTTGCCACAATGTCCCCTTCTCCAGGAACATCCCCCACCAGACCCCACCACCTTCCCTGTGGACACCCTATGGGGTAAGCCACATCTTTCTCTCTGAGGATAGACTAGGGTGGCCCAGGAGGGTGTCTGACTACCACAAAGGCACTGCCCAGACAAAACATCTCAGGGCAGGATGGCTCACACCTGTAATCCCAGCACTTTGGGAGGCCGAGGCAGGCGGAACATTTGAGGTCAGGAATTCAAGACCAGCCTGGCCAACATGGTGAAACCCCATCTCTACAGAAAATACAAAAATTAGCTAGACATGGTGGCGCCTGCCTGTAATCCCAGCTACTGAGGAAGCTGAGGCAGGAGAATCGCTTGAACCCAGGCGGGGGAGGTTGCAGTAAGCCGAGATACTGCCACTGCACTCCAGCCTGGACGACAAAGTGAGACTGTCTCAAACACACACACACACACACACACACACACACACACACACACACACCCCTCAGTGCCATGGCTCACTTGCTCTGGCACTCCCCAGACTGGAGTCTGCAAGGGTTCTCCTAAGGCTCAGGGAGTGCATGCTGCAGGGTAGAGGGTTCTCGTTGAGACAGCACCTGAACTGGCTGCTGTCCCCACTCACAGGACACACCATGCTGACCGGGGTGACCGACGGTATCTTCTGTTGCCTGCTGGGCACGCCCCCCAACGCCGTGGGGCCACTGGAGAGCGTCGAGTCCAGCGATGGCTACACCTTTGTAGAGGTCAAGCCCGGCCGCGTGCTGCGAGTGAAGCATGCAGGACCCGCCCCGGCCGCTGCCCCACCTCCGCTATTATCCGCATCCTCGGATGCAGCCCAGGGGGACCTTTCTGGCTTGGTCCGCTGTCAGCGCCGGATCACCGTGTACCGCAATGGGCGGTTGCTGGTGGAAAACCTGGGCCGAGCCCCTCGAGCCGACCTCCTGCACGGGCAGAATGGCTCTGGGGAGCCGCCGGCCGCCCTGGAGGTGGAGCTGGCAGATCCAGCAGGCAGCGATGGCCGCTCGGCCCCCGGCAGCAGCAGCGGCAGCGGCAGTGGCAGTGGCGGGCGGCGGCGGCGAGCCCGGCGCCCCAAGAGGACCATCCATATTGACTGTGAGAAGCGCATCACTAGCTGCAAAGGCGCCCAGGCCGATGTGGTGCTGTTTTTCATCCATGGTGTCGGCGGTTCCCTGGCCATCTGGAAGGAGCAACTGGACTTCTTTGTGCGCCTAGGCTATGAGGTGGTGGCTCCTGACCTGGCCGGCCACGGGGCCAGCTCTGCGCCCCAGGTGGCCGCAGCCTACACCTTCTATGCGCTGGCTGAGGACATGCGAGCGATCTTCAAGCGCTATGCCAAGAAGCGAAACGTGCTCATCGGCCATTCCTACGGGTAAGTGAACCCTGGCACGTGGGGTGGGGGTGAGGGATGGGGGTCAGCAGGGACTGACAGTCACAAAATACTGAGCTTTTGGCTGGGCCCTGTGGCTCACGCCTGTAATCCCAGCACTTTGGGAAGCCGAGGCGGACGGATCACCTGAGGTCTGGTGTTGGAGAACAGCCTGGCCAAGGTGGTGAAACCCCGTCTCTACCAAAAATACAGAAATTAGCCAGACATGGTGGCACGCACCTGTAGTCCCAGTTACTGGGGAGGCTGAGGCAGGATAATCGCTTGAACGAGGGAGGTAGAGGTTGCAGTGAGCCAAGATTGCACCATTGCACTCCAGCCTGGGTGACAGAGTGAGACTCGGTCTCAAAAAAAAAAAAAAAAAAAAAAAAAAAACTGAATCTTCAGCCCAGATGCCGCTGATGCCTGTAATCCCAGTGCTTTG